AATTCCTTGATTTTTAATGACATTTCTTGAATTATTTGTGCAATATCTATGTACACACGACGGCATTTTTTTATCAAGAGATTTTTTTTAAATCAACACAACACGTGACAACTCTACAAGCGCCTAGCAAGTGACTGATTAAAGTGCGGTGTATGCACCGCAGTTGAGTGGAACACTGAATGCAGTGTCGCCTCTAGTACGTAGTACGTAATAGCTCAACTAGTAGGAACGACGTTTTGCCAAATTTATCAGATAGATGGGTAATATACATAATATACATATATAATTTTTAACTTACATTAAAACTTTTTAACTGTTTTATGCTACAATTAAATATATTACCTAAAAATATATCAGACCTAATTGAAACCATTAATGATGGTAAAAAACCCTTGAAACTAACTCAGCTATCCACAACTAGATGGCTGGCGTTTCATTCAGCTGTTAAAACAAACATCAATCAGTGGCTTGAGCTAAAAACTCACTTTAATGTGGTGAAATCATCAGAAAGATGTTATACAGCAAGGGAGCTTGCTGCCATGTATAATGATGATACAAATTTATTATATTTGTTGTTTTTGTCTCCGATATTAAAAGAAGTAACCAATGTGAATACTATATTTATTATGCTCAATTATACATATTCATTATACTTCATTGCAAGACGTGTTTTCAAACCAATATTTCTGAGAAGTCAAAGTCTGTCTGAAAATGCCTCTGTATCAATACTACATGAAGCAGATATTGCAGCTGTTAGGCGAGCTTTAGAAAAAGCCGGAGCGCCATTTGAAAATCACTGCTTCCACTGGACTCATTCGACTTTGGAGAAAAGTTCAATGATTTACTTGCAAAAAAGACTGTTTCTGCCGACAAAGCCAAAGAAGTGAAGCAACGATGTTCTGCTTTTCTTGTACGCTTAGTAAGAGAATTATGTCAACTAATTCTCTTACTAAGCGTACCGCTAAGGTTACCACTTAATGTGTCGGTGATGGAAAAAATTTAACTTTTTGCGCCAAGCCGCGTATGCCTCTCAACCGGCAAACCCAACATTAAAGATTTTCCTTGGCAGTTAGGTGATCCCAATATTGACCAAGAAGCTGTTATGAACCAATGGCGCGTATTAAGCACTATGCGCATTGAGGAGATAATCGGAACAGCTGCTTCTCCTAATGACATTGTAAATTTTTGAATACAAGTGCTAAAAATGACGAATGCTGGTGGAAGCCTGATGTTTAAAGAACTAGCAGAGTTTTCGATACGATGGCCTTTCATTACCTTTGAGTAATGCCGTCGTTGAAAGAATTTTCAGCGTAATGGGGACAATCAAAACAAAATTAAGGAATCGCATGCAATTACCCATGCTGATCGCAATTCTTAGGATTCGTACCCATATGAATGTAAGAGGTTTGTGTTGTAACAACTTTCAACTAAGCAATCACATGGTGAGTTTGCACGCTGGCAGAAAAATGTATGTCTCCGGTGGATCTTGCGCCAGTACTAGCACATCAACTACTACTGAAGACGGCGAAAGTCTTGGTGATGCCTTATTATTGCTAGCAGAGGACGAATCAAAATAATCCTAATTTTTGTTTATTTGTTTATGTAATTAACAATAAATGTTAACTTTAATTTCATTAACGTGTTTTAAAGATGGCTTATGCCTATTTATCAGTGTGTTATGAACATATTATAAATAAATTGATAAAAACTATATTTTATTTTATTCATTTGATATTTTGGTATTTGGGCTACTTTAGGCTACTAACCGCTACTACTTCATGCATGAGAAACGGCGACATTAGGGCCAGCGCTGTTGGCAACACTGTTACCTTGCTACATATTTATTTATCTATGATTGGCGTTTTGTTTTTCTGGTGTAACGGATTGTTCTTTGAATATTTTGAATTTTTGATATTTTTCCTATATTTTCTTACGACTTGGCTATTCTTGGACTCCGATTATATTTGCTTAAAACCCACGCACGTGAAAGGGACTTCGATTATCTCTCCTCTGGATATAGTTCGTATAGTTTAGTGATGGCCGCGAATAAAATTTGCTGTGTTTCAGGATATACTAAAAGCCGTGAGTAAATCTAATTATTTACAGGTTCTACCAGTCAATATATTATTTCTTCTTTCTTTTATTCATTTTATATATAAGTCAGTGTCACCTTGGGCAACAATGTGATACCTAGCGCAGACGCAGGTAGCCCAAGAGTCCTGCATCATTTTTCCACCCTTAGAGCCAATATTTTGCTATGTATACCTATAACACTACTACTTATACTACTGTCAATACACTTTTCGGAAACACTTGATAAAATAGTAAAAATTAATTTTTCTTGTAGGTGAAGATGGCACTTCACAAATTTCCGAATCCTACAAAAGATCCAACACGCTTTCGTACATTGGTTCAAGCAGTTGGTGGAAACTTTCTGTGCTTAGATGATATGTATGTTTTAAGTACCGAAGATTTTGTCATACACATTTTGAATTCAAGTACTGGACCAAGAGTAAAATGTTAAGTAATATAGCAATACCAACATTGCATATAAAAGGTTAGTAAAGATTCGCATTAACATTGTAATGATCTATTCTTAATATTATGTATGTTAAAGTTAATATGGAAATTTGTTCTTCAAATAATTAATTAATACTATCAAACATGAACAATTGAATGTATAAATTTTGAATCATTGTACTATGTTCTGCAATACTAATTTTCAACTTCCATGTTGGCAAAATATTATGTATGGCATGCAAAGCAATTTTATGGAAAGTTTGTTATTTCTTAGTAACTATTTGATTCAAATGATAATTCAAAGCTTATAAATTATGGTTTTTTAAAGCTCAATCAAAATCTACACCAGTTTGTAAATATAAAACTTTTTCAGAGTACAACTGGGAAGAAACATGAGTTTATGTTGTAATAGCAAATATATAGTGAGTGATCTAAAGATCTTTTCCAATACTAATGAGAACATATATTGCACTGACATACTATATACTAGAATATGTTTGTCCTTTAGTATCTATTTAAAGTTATGATGATTTTCAATTTGATATCCCATTCTTTCACTTCTTTCAATCTTAGAATATCATATTCAAAGTTTAGATGCCCAAATTTGTGCAGTATTCATTTGTTTAAAAACAAAAAAGTTAGTATTTCATTTGGTCTTATTAACAAACTTAATTAATCACAAAAGAAGTTACTTGATTTGCCTCAGTCTTTGTAAAATTTGACATTGTAGTAGTAGTGACATTGTACATTATAGTATGCATATTTTTCACAGGTGTTCAATAGTGCAACTATAGTCAATCAAATCTAAGAAATACCTTTTGACCTTTAATATTACTCATTCCGCTACAACTTTGCACAAGCATACTTACACAATTTAAAATAAACTTTTACGTAAATCCGAAGAATTATGAAGATATGTCATTACGACTTGTATAGTTTTTTATCACTAATTTAAATTCGAATCCTTCAAACAAAACAATATATTAAAAAATAACCATTATCAACTTTTTTTACTTGACGTCGTTTCAATGATATGTTGCGCAGAACCTTACCGTAGTGTTATGATGATTAAAATTCATTTTTATTCGAATAATCGGCAAAAATATTCAAATAATCGGTAAAAATATTCAAATAATTGAATCATTATTTTTTATGTATTATTTGTTTAATTGAATTATTATTTTTAAAAATTCAAAAACAAGTTTATTTTGGGATTTGGCTTTAACTTTTTGGACTGTTTCTTCTATACTCGTTGAAGCATGTGCCTATGTGTCAAAGTCTGATTGAGTAAAAGAGATAGAAAAAACATAAAAACCCATTATGGGTTACTTTGAAAGGGACATTAATTTGAACTGCATTATTGAAAATCCAATAATAATTAATCTACACAATGACAGCTCAAGTACTGAAAGTGATTGAATAAATTCATTTTTAATCTAGTTTCAATCTTAAATTTTTATGACTTTGCCTGTAGAAATAAGCAGTTACAATAAATACAAAGAAACTGATAAATCTTGTGTTTTAAATCATCCATTTCTTATTTATTCTAGTATTATTCAAACCAACTGTAAATATTTACCAACTCTAAATAATCGATATCGATTTTTTTAAGAATCGAATATTGTACGTTTTCAATTTTTGGTTGGCATGCTTGGTGCAATAAGTTTGACAGCTTTCAAAATGTGTTTCTTAGATTTGTTTGACTATAATACTAACTACTAACTAGTAATAAACTTCTATTTTAATAAAATGGAATGTGTAACTTTTAGCTTCATTTTTATTTGTTTTATTTTTTTATGCTACTTGTGGTATTTGTTGTTAGATATTGTCTGTTGGAAGATGTTGGTAGTCCTTCAGTCTTAGTTGTTCATTTCCTACGTGGCTAATATGTGTATGCTGTAATTTTTGCTGATTGGTAGTAGAGGAACTAATCTTTGCAATTAATAAACCCAAGCAGGTTAAAGTTTGTGTTAAGAGCCGTCAGTTCACATTTCTCTTTGTACTATTGTTAAGTTGTCAATATATTTGAAGTCCAATATAATCATTCATTGTAAATATTGATTTTACAGGTACTGTTGCTAAAAGGTCACCCTTAGCTGAAGTTACAAATAAAAATAATACTCTTAAAACAAGCTATACACAAGAAATTGTTTCAACACCAAGTTATATGTGCAAGAGACAACTCCTGCTCAAACATCCAGTAAGTTTTTGAATATCGTTGAGAGTAGACGTGCAGTTTGTTGTTTGAAGAACTATTCAAAAAAGTGCATACAAACTTGACTTTTATAAACAGCAACTTCTCGGTGCATATTTGTGTATTCAATTAACTGTGACAACCTGCAAAGTTTGTAACGATCGATCGAACGTGGATAATTGTTTCTTTGTCTAGCATTGCATCTGATGAATCTGAAGGGCGCCCGCACCTCACCTCCGCTAGCAAAAGACAGGTGCATATTTTTGTTCTCACTTGTGTATTTGCGATGCAACGTACACCTCCGCAAAAGATAAAGTGTATGTCAAGCCCAGATCTGCACCGTGAAATCGATTCTAGCAATAACTTCGTTACTTGTAGAAAGCGCAAAGAAATGGACGACAAATCCGAACATAGTACGATATTTTCCAACAATATCTTAAACGAAAAATATATAGAAAAATTAGTGACAAACTCGGTGCGCTCTGTTTTGTCTGCTGAGCTCACCAAAATAACGGATGCCTTAACTAACATCCAATTGGCCGTAGCCGGGATAATTTCAGATAGTACGGCTTTAAAAAATTCGTTACTGGAAGTTAACAATAAGCTTATAGATATCGATAACACACTATGTTCCTCTGAGTTACGTCAAGATTCATTTGACGCTCGTATTAAAGGGCTTGAAGAAAAAATCCAACAGGTTTCGGAGCGGAATGCTGGTCTGGAAAATAAGTTATCATCAATGGAACAACAGGCAAGGGGCAATAATCTTGAAATTTCAAATTTACCTGAAAAAAAAGGCGAAAATCTTACTATAATAACTAATTTGGGGGTTATAGTTGACCAAAAGATTCTTTCGACTGACATCACCGCAATTCATCGAGTTCCTCATGCTGACCACAAGGATTCTCGCCCAAAAAATATTATTGTACAATTTTCATCAAGAATTCTTCGTGACAACTTCCTCGCTGCCTGCCGTGTACGTAAGAATTTAAATTCAGAGAAGTTATCAATCTCTGGACCATCGCATACTATATATGTAAATGAGCATTTGACATTAAAAAATAAGATTTTATTTCGTGAATGTCGAAATGCAGCTAAAGCTAATGAATACAAGTATGTGTGGGTTAAGCATGGAACTATATTGGTGCGTAAGAATGATAGCTCACCAGCTATGGCAATTCGATCTTTCGATAATATTAAAAAGATTAAATAGTGGTGTAATTTTAAACAATTACAGGTTGGACTTAAAACTAATAATATTTAACATTGTCCTAGTATGTACTCATTCTCCTTTTTCTTATTATATTTTATTTTGTGAGGTAAATTTAATTAAATATCAATTTGTTAATATTATACCCTTGCGGGTAAGCAAAAGTACGTTGAGCCTTATGAAAGTTGTTTACATGTTATTTAATATACTAAGTTGGCTGTTGATCAAAGCGAGCAAAATAGTCTTTGTTTATGTTTTTACTCGTAATCTTAAGGAAATACTTATTATAACTGTTGATGTCTATTTATTTGTAGGGTTGCATATAATTCAATACATATTAATCATACATAAATTTAACATTATTATTTCAGTAACAGTACAATTTCTTACATTTAAAAATGGATAGCTTGTCTATATACTACCAAAACTGCCGTGGGCTTCGGACCAAATTACATACTATATATACGAACATTCTTTCTCATGCATATGATGTAATTATTTTAACGGAAACATGGTTACATAGTCATATTTCTGATAACGAATTTATTGATACCAGATATACTGTGTATAGATGCGATAGAAATCGGATGCGTGTGATCGGAGGGACGGTGGGGGAGTGCTCATTGCGGTACGCAGTACGCTTAGCACTGTCGAGGTCGGACTTCTTTCTCTGCGTCCGCACTTTCCCCACTTATAGATTACGTTACACTTGAGATTAGGGGTGGCAAAAAAATTTATCTATTAAATGCTGTGTATATTGCGCCTAACCAAAAGAGTGATGTATACTTGAGCTATAAATATTGTCTAATCAATACCAATAGTAATAATTTTTATCTAGTAGGAGACTACAATATGCCATCTATAGATTGGAATGATATGGATCTTAATTTTGAAGGTAATTCTTTTTCCGATATATCAATTTCACGCAATAGTTTAATAAATTTTATATCACTTTATAATTTTACACAAATTAATACATGTAAAAATTCAAATAATGTTATTCTAGATCTATTTATTACTAACATAAATGACTATATATTATGTCCAGCCCATATTCCTTTAGTAAGTACTGATAAACATCATCCTCCATTTTATGTAATAGTACCGTTTGCCGAGAAGATACGAGGCATGCCGAGTAAACACACACGTTACTGTTTTGAAAGTGCGGACTACGTATTGATTAATAAAGTAATATTAGATACTGAATGGAAGGCTTTGATGAAAGACGACGTTTCTGCTGAAGCTGCTGTGGACTTATTTTATGACGGAATATATGGTATTATACGCAAATATATAGAAAGGAAAACTGTAAAAAAAGCAATTTTCCTAAGTGGTTTGATTCATCACTGATACATATCTTCAAAAATAAAAATAATGCTTGGGTTAAATGGAAAAATACGGAAATTTGTCAGATTATAGAACATTCGCATTGTACAGAAAACGTTTTAAAACTGAATCTAAATTACGTTATGCTCATTATATGGATACTGTCGAGAATTGTGTAAAGCAAAATATTAAATATTTCTGGAAATATGTAAACAAATTGCAAAAGTAGCCTAGAAACTCCGTCAGAAATTTTTTATAAAGACAAATTTGCTAGTAACCCCAAGGAAGTATGTAATTTATTCTCTGATTTTTTCTTTTCGGTATTTGAACCCACTTCAGTTACTGATGATTTGAATTATGATAACATTAATATATCAAATAATAACAATTGTGATTTCGTTATTACTGACATTTCTATTTTTGAAAAAGATGTAACAAAGTCCCTTTTAGATTTAGACGCGAATAAAGGAGCTGGTATTGACAACATTCCTCCTTATTTTTTGAAAGCTACAGCACATACTATTGCAAAACCAATTCATTACCTTTTTAATAAATGCTTAAAAGATGGCATATGTCCATCTATTTGGAAAACAGCTCGTGTTGTACCAATTTACAAGGCAGGCTCAAAAAAAGATGTTGAGAATTACAGACCGGTATCGATATTATCAACACTCGCTAAAACTTTTGAAAGGTTAATACATAATGCGGTATATCCTAGTCTTCACAATATAATAATTCCACAGCAGCACGGTTTTATTAAGAAGCGTTCGACTATATCTAACTTATTATTTATACAAACTACTTATTTGAGAATCTGATATAACTCCAACTGATTGCATATACACAGATTTCCGCAAACTTTCGATCGCGTAGACCATAAACTACTTCTGGAAAAGCTGGCCTTTAATGGTATCCGTGGTAACTTGTGGAGATGGTTTAAGTCGTATGTGACAAATCGTACACAAAAAGTAGTTATAAGAGGTTTTGAGTCAGATATTGTGCATATAAGTTCTGGTGTGCCACAAGGATCAATCTTAGGGCCTCTTCTTTTCGTCCTGTACATTAATGATGTTAATAGCTGTTTCAAGTTTTGTAATTTTATTCTGTAGGCAGATGATATTAAAATTTATCGCAAAATTCAATATTATCATGACCATCTTAACTTTCAAAAAAATTTAGACAATTTTACAACTTACTGTAAAAACAATAAGTTAGATTTGAGTGTTAATAAATGTAAAGCCATAACGTTTACCCGTAAGCGACAGGTAAGTAATTTCAATTATTCTTTATGTGGAGTTCCATTAGAAAAAGTTTATAAAATTAAAGATTTAGGAATAATATTAGATAGTAAACTTATCTTTGATACACATGTCGAAAATGTCATTAATAAGGCTCTTAAAATGTATGGATTCGTGATGCGTATTGGAAGTGAATTTAAAAAACCTCTGACTTATTTGCACCTCTATAAATCTTTAATAAGATCGCAACTGGAATATGCGGTAGCTATTTGGTGTCCGTATTATAATAAATATATAGATAAAATAGAATCCATTCAGAAAAAGTTTTTGCGTAGTGTAAATTACAAGTGCAGACGAGTTAAATTACCCTACTATCAACTGCTGGTTGAATATAACTTACTAAAATTAGAATCCAGACGTCAACAGATTCAAGCTATGTTACTGTATGATATTTGTCATAACAGGTACGATAGTATAGAACTAGTTAAAATGATACAATACAGAGTACCAAATAGGCCCTTGTGTCGCAGAGTTCGTGCCAAATACACATTTTTTACTAATAAATGTCGAACCAACGTAGGTAAAAGATCCCCTGTATATATGTTGTTAAATTGTTATAATAATACTTTCAATAATATTGACATTTTTGCTCACAAGGTGGGTATTTATAAAAAAGAATTACTTTCAGTACTTAGAGGAGAATGAGTTTGTATAATTGATTATTACAATAATTTTTATTTTTATTTTTATTATTGTGTTATTTGAAAACACAATCACTGTATTATATGAAAAAGTTGTACGCTATTCTCAATCTAAACATTTGGTAATAGTAATTGGTGGTCAACGGTGTTGGTTGCACTATTATAATATATTTTTGTAGTGAATGTATTTTAGATTAATAAATATTGTGTAAACTGTTTGTTGATCCTAATAAATTAAAAAAAAAAAAGTTATTTTAACTTGTGAACTTGTGAAAAAAAAATGTATTTTATTGTATAAATGAAATTGAGGATAATTGCTGGTTCTGGTAAAGGTTTAGTATCAAGTCACTTCAATAGGGGGTTGTGGGGCGGGGGGAAGGGAGGTAGAGAGGGATAGATTCGCCCCCCACGTGTTCCCCCACCGGAGATGCATAGTATTAAATGTTAAAGATCAAAATTTTATTAAATAATTTATAAGCAAAATCACCTTAATAGGTAGTCGGGGAGGGGGTGTGACCCCTCTTCACCAAAGCAATACCAAAGTTTAGTTGATGGAGCTCCAGCTATTTCTGGGTAGTTTATGATCTAAGTTGGTGTGCCCCAAATCCCGAGCTTGCTTTGCTCGCTCTTGTACCAAAAAAAAAAACCAAAATGTAAATATTTGCTTTAATAAGTAAACATAATTTAACACTTTTGCCATTATATTTCATAATGTTCCGCCTGCACAAGTACTCCACTATTGCATCACTAAAATATCCAATATCTTGAAAACGGTTAAGTTTGGTGTATGGTGTTTCATAGTCGAAACAGTCGGTAATGATGCAAACTACAACCCCCTAAATGATCTAGGTCGACTTAACCTGTAACCCTATCATATTATATATTTCAATATTTATCTACTATGTTCCAAATTAAGATTCAAAATGCAATCAACTTGCTACAATTATATTTATTTTTACTAAACTATAGTACTTTTCTAGGTTGTCTATATAAATATGTTTTGTCATTTTAATTTCAGGCTTGAAGGTGACTAAGCCTTTGGGCTGACTCAAATTAGTACAAGAATTAAATAATAATAATATAATAATAATAGCCTTTATTTCAGACATTATTTCATTTACAGTATCTACCTGGATTAGTCTATATCTAACACTGGATTATATATTATATATATTTACACTCTCAACGCTTAACTATTGTACATCGACAACCCTGTCTGTATGCCACTTATTGGCAAAGGCCTCCCCAACCTTTCCCATTCTTCTCTATCCTTAGCAGTTCTCGTCCACATGCCTCCTGCTATGGCTTTAATATCATCCTCCCATCTTCAACATGGTCTACTTTTTTCCTTTTCATATGACCTGTAAACCAATTCATTATCGATTTCGACCATTTCTCTTTTCCTCTAATTATATGGCCTGACCATTTCCATTTTAACTTTTTTATTATTATTGTGACATCTTTTGTTTTCGTGTGTTTCTTTATGGTTTCGATTCTTATTCTATCGGATAGTCTTTTCCCCATCATACTCCTTTCCATTGAGTTTTGGCATGTTTCTAACTTTTTAATGTGTGCTTTAGTGAGTGCCCAGGTTTGGCAGCCATAAGTGAGTATAGGTAGTATGCTGGTTTCAAAGAGTTTCCGTTTGATGGTTATGTTAGCGTCGTTATTTTTCATTATTTCTTTTAAGCTCCAAAATTGTTTCCAGGCATTTCCAATGCGTCTATCAATTTCTTTTGAGGTTAGATTTATAGGAGAGATTGTCTGGCCCAAATAGATGTATTCATTAACATATTTAATCAGGTTATTATTGATCAGAATAGGTTCTTCCTTGCTATTGGTTATAGCCTTGGTCTTTAATGTGTTCATGACCAATCCCACATTGCCACTTTCTCTAACCAGGTCATTCAGCATCGCCTGCAGTCCGTCACTCGATGACGAGAGGATTATCAAATCATCGGCAAATCTCAAATGTGACAGGTTTTCGCCGTTAATGGACAGTCCACATTTCTCCCAGTCTAATTGACGAAAGACTTCTTCCAAAACGTCTGTGAAGAGTTTCGGCGATAGAGGATCGCCCTGACGTACGCCTCTTCCTATTATAATATCTTTACCTTCCTTCTCTCGTTTTATCTTAGCCTTGCTGTTATCGTAGATATTTTTTAGTATTCTGATGTATTTATTTTCAATACCTTGGTTTTTGAGTGCCAGCCAAATTTTTTCATGCTCTATTGTATCGCAAGCTTTACTGTAATCCACAAAGCAGCAGTAAAAGGTTATGTTGTATTCTTTGGCTTTTTCGAATAGTTGCTTGATGTCATGAATGTGGTCTAAAATTGAGTATCCGCTCCTGAAACCCGCCTGCTCTCTTGGATGATTTTCATCCAACGTGCTAGTTATTCTATAGAGTATAACTTTTGCGAAGATTTTATATATATTCGACAATAGACTTATAGGTCTATAATTATTAATGTTATTTTTATCTACTTTTTTGTGTAGAAGTACTATTGTTGACATTGTCCATTGGTAAGGTATTATCTCGTTTTGTAAGACTTCATTGAAAAGATGTTTGAGAATTGGTATCAGGTGGTTTCTATTTAGGATGAGGAACTCGTTACTTATGCCATCTAATCCTGGAGCTTTATCTGTTTTTTGAGTTCTCACAGCTTTTTCTATTTCTTCGTGTATTATATCCGGTACTTCACTTCCTCCTGTTAGGATTGTTGTCTGTGCAGTGTTTTTCCTTGAATACAATTCTTCAAAAAATTGAGTGGCTATTGATATGATTTCAGGGCGTCGCTTATCGCATTTATGATTTTTATTTATTAAATTTGGTATGCAATCTCGTTTTTTCAATAGTAGTTTAGCTGTTTTTTTGGTGCCTCCGGTTCTTTGTATGCATTTTTCCAGTTGTTCTAATCTATATCTCTGACGGTCTTTTCTCATGTGTGTTTTTATTTTATTACTTAAATTAGCTATGTATTTTCTTATAGTTTTTGTCTTTTCAGGGTTAGATATAAGGTCTGCTCTACTTCTTATCAATTCTTTAGTTTTGTTTGTTACCCATTTTGTCTTGATGTTTCTACTTTCCATTTTGCCTTTTTTAGTAGTATAGAGGAGTTCTTCGAATTTATTATATTTAATCTGTATGTCTAAGTCCTTTGTTTTTTCTATGAATTGTTCTATCTTTCCTTTTAGTGAATCTGTACTTTCTAGTGTTTAAGCTGTTGGTTTGTTATACTTTAAAAGGTCTATCTTTATTGAGTGTGTTTATTTGTAACTTAGCTCTTAGCATCTTATGGTTGCTGTTGAAATTAATAGTGTTTAAAACTCTACAGTCCCGAAAGTCTTTACTTTTGTTTGTTAGTATGTGATCTATTTCGTTTTTGTGGTGACCATCGGGAGATATCCATGTCCATCTGTTGTTCTCACGTTTTCTGTATAGAGTGTTTAGTACTTTTAAGTTGTTTCCATATGCCAGTTGGACAAGTTTCTCCCCATTTCTTGTTCTTTTGCCTGAACAATACGGACCCAATATCATTTGTTCTCCGTCTCCTCTTGCCCCTATTCTTGCATTAAAATCTCCCATCACTACTAAATTGTTGTGCGAGTTTTTGATTATTGCGTCCTGTAACATAGAGTAGAATGTGTCGATTTCTGTTCTACTTGATTGTTCAGTTGGAGAGTAGACTTGCACAATCGACCACTTTTCGTTTTTCGGAGGTAGTTTTATATTAAATATAACAATACGTTCTGAGACGCCAATGAACTCGTCAATAAATGGTTTTAATTCATTTTTTATTAAGAATCCTGTTCCATATAAGCCTGGTGTTTCTCCTTTATAATAAAATATAAAATGCCCATGATCTTCTGTACTCTCCCCTAGTCGTCGTACTTCACTCAAACCCAGTATTGACCACTTTACATTTTCTAGAGCTAGTATTAGTTCCGTTAGACTCTCATTGGTTCTTAAGGACAACGTATTGTATGTCGCATGTGTATTTTATCTGCCATTTGGCAATTGTTTTTTAGGAGGAATGTGTAATTGGAAATTAGTTGGAGGGTATATACACAGGGAGGGTATATAGACAATAGTCTTCTTCCCCCACACTGACTGGCCGGATTGTGGTGCCTTTAGAAAAAGTTTGTTTTATTGATGTTGTGTTGTCTCGATTCCGGGTGTCGATGTCATTTACAGGTTTTTTGGTATTTCTGATATCAAAGCTGAACTTACTCTTTCCACATAACTGAGTATGTTAGGTCTTATAGTGTCTTTTCCTACATTTTTGGTCGCTGAGTTGATTTGTGTCTTAAAAACGGTAGTGGTAGCTTTCTTTTGATTTGAATTGTTTGGCGAACCTGACTCTTCTCTTTTTCTCTTTTCTGGGTAGTTATCTTTGTTTTTCTTTACTACTAATTTATTATATCTTATGAATGCTACATTTCCTTTTCTTCTTCAACCTGTAACTGTAGCTGCTTGCGTTTTTCTAGCATTTCTTTAGAATAATCTTCCTTAATGTATATTCCTTGTGGAAGTTTGGACTTGTTTCGCAATATCAGGTGCTTTTTCCATAGCGTAGTAATAGTGACTACGCCCGGGCGGTTTTTGTTGCGACGTGTTTCCCAATTCCGTATATTTTACTGATTTCATTACGAACGAAGTGTATTTCCATGTCTATTATGACGTCCTTGATGTAATCCACAAGCTCACATTCAGTTTTTCCTATTTCTTCTATTCCAAAAAATACTAAATTATTTTTCCTTTTTTCATCTTTCAAAAACTTTACTTCCATTTCTAATTCAGATATTTTTGTTTTGAGGGTACTATTTTCTTCCATAATAAATTTCATCTTTTCATCAAGCGCCTCCATTAAATTTTTCGTAACTGATGTTGTTATTAGAAGATTATTAAGTTTCTTATCTAGTATTGATATTAGCTTTTCCATATATTTTTCCTCCATTTTTAGGGAAATTTTACTGTTATGGCAGCACTGTATTTTAGTTGGCAGCCATAGATTCTGTTTGGCAACACTAGGTTCCGTTAAGTAACACTGAATTCTGGTAGGCCACACTTTTTTAATGTCACTTCTTTAAAGTTGTCTATGGTGTGTTCACTTCCCTTCAATGATTTTGCAATTTTAGGTTATGTTTTAATAATGTTTGTTGTACAATTTTTCACTTAATGTTGGTTTCCACTGTTTTTATTGTTGTTTTATTTGTTATTGTTTTTTTCAGCAATCTTGGTTAAAATACGGTTGATTACACTTGTTTTTGCACACAACTCGAGTATATATTCGCGGAGAACGTTGACGCACGTCCAATCAGTTCAATGACCGGAACCGGAACAGTAGTAGTGCAAGAATTACTGTGTTAAAAAAGAAACTTAGAAGCTTGTATAGCAAATGAGAAATAAGAAAGAATGAAAAAAGAACAAAAAGATCGAAGAAGGAAATGAATCTATCAGAAAATACAACTTTCTTGAAAGCAATTAAAAGTTTTACCTCAATGGCAACAATTTTTACGATGCTACAATTTCGAGAATGTGGTGAACACAAAATGGGCAGATGATTCACACCTGATGGAAAAGTGATGACATTACATTTTTTAAACATGGGCCAATAGCCTACAGGATACTGCAAAAGATATTTGTTCTGCCATCACCTTTCACCTTAAGCAGGATGGTATCTAAGGCCAATATTAAGCCTGGTATAAATGAAAAAACTCCGGGAGTGCCGGCAGAAGTGAAAACTTGAATATTAATGTTGTGCATTTTTGATACTTTGGCATGATTAGGGAATAATTTTGCACGAATTGCTTTAATTATCACACACGAACATTCGCGAAAGCGCCCTGCGCCGCCTAACGGCGGCTCTACACCAGCGGTCTGCAACCTTTTTGATATTGCGACCCCAAAATTCAAAAAAGAGTTATGAGCGACCCCAGAAAAAAAAATCACTAAGTAAACAGGTGCAAAGGTTGGTTCAGGTAACGAAGTTAGCTGTTTTTATTTCGTAAATTATTTATATTGAAGAGTTTATTTATTTTGGAAAATAATATTAGAGCAAACTAGAAAATATGCATTTAACATATGAGTAATATTTATGATGGCCTTAAATGAGAAGCAATTATTTTAATATTTTATTTAAAAAAGAAGGTACATATACGTAACCTTACAATCTAATGTGAAGCTTGTGCTTGCACACTTGCAGTCAGTATATTAATTCTTGGTGACATATTATCAGAAACCCTCAAATCAGGTTCTAGGTTAAGTCTGGAGCGATATTTTGTTTTTATAGCAGTTAATGTGGAGAAAGCTGTCTCGCAAAGTTATGTAGATGCAAATGGCAGCAATTTCAGCAGACATGTTTTGAATAACAGTGGATATTCCTTTTCCGTCCTTATCCAGAACTTGGATAGATCCGTGGTTTTGAAAATAGATCGAAGACTTTCATCGGACATTAAATCGATCAGCTGCTCCTTTTCTTTTAAGTTCATCTTCACAGTGTTAAGATCACAAGTGAATGGATTAATTATCCATTGGTCGCCGTGTGACGTATCTTGGAATCTTATTTCCAAGTCTTGCTTAAGGTTTGTAAGATGCATCAAGATTTTGGTTTTAATTTCTTCTTCGAGCTTTATATTGTTTTCTTCAGAAAATTTTTCCAAACATGCAAACATCTCGTAGTTTTCAGCACTGATTTCATCTATCCACAAACTTATTTTCCTACAAAAAGCTTTGATTTTGTTAGCTAAAATCAATACATTTGTACTCTTCCGTTTAAATTTCCGACTTAATTCTTTCCGATTTAAGTCGTAAAGTTTTTCAAAAATATCCGAAATATAGCCAACTGTTGCCAACCAATTTTCATTCAAAAAATATTCCGCTAGCTTTGGTTCCCGTTCAAGTAGAAATATTCTGATTTCATCTTTGAGATCAAATACACGTCGGAGTGTTTTTCCTCGCGATAACCACCTGACCTCCGTATAACAGTAGATATAACAGTAGATTTTCGTATTCTGATCCCATTTCACGACACATTATTTTGAAAAGGCGACTGTTTAATGCGCGAGCTTTAATAAAATTTATTATTGTTACGACTTGTTCCAACACTTTATTTACATCTGGTTGCAAATGTTTTGCTGCAAGGGCTTCACGGTGAATCATACAGTGAACAAAACCTACGTGAGGTGCAATCTCAGTTACTTTTGCTTTGAATCCTGTTTTGGAGCCGGTCAATGCAGCTGCGCCGTCTGTACACACAGATACACAATATTCCCACTTTATGTCATGGAGTTCAAAAAAAGGTATTAACTGCATTAAAAATTGTTTCACTGGTTGTTCTTCCTTCTAATCCCTGACAAAATAACAAATCTTCGCATATGTCGTTTTTATATCGGTATCGGATAAATATCAGAAGTTGAGCTACATTAGTGCTTTCATCCAGCTGAATAGCATAATAGGGACTCCCTTTCACGCGATCTATAAGTTGTATTTTGATATCATCAGCAAGTAGATTGATACGACGATGAACAGTGTCACTTGATAGTGGAATTGTTTTCAGTAAATTGGCATACTTTTCTCCTTGCATGATCGAAACCATTTTCATTGCAGCTGGCAAAATGAGCGTCTCGCCAATGTTGTGAGGTTTTTTAGTTTTGGCAATCAAAAAGGAAACCTCGAAAGATGCTTGTGGCTTGATGGCTTTTTGGTTAACTGTTCTGTATTTTTGGAAATCAACCTGCTGTGACTTTAGTTTGGTGGCAAGTCGTTTAAAATAAGATTAATCTTTCTTTTTTAACTGTGGATGCTTAGTTTCTAGGTGCCTTTTCAGTTTGGCCGGCTTCATGCTCTCATTTGCTAAAACCTCCGAACAAACAACGCACTGTGGACGTTGTTAAAAATTCAACACTGTACATTTAAAATCAAACTGGATGTACGATTCTTTAAAGATGCGTTGACGCTTCCCAGTTGTCTCCGATGTAGCTGTTGCTTGTTTAGTTGAAGTTGAAGCGTCACTCTCTGTATCGATGTGTAAAGTAGATGTAGCTGTTGAACTACAATCATCGCTGTTATGACTAATAGTTATAGTAGTGGAACTAGATGTTTCTCTGCTTTCATCGATAGTAATAACACTACTAGTATTTGAAGTGGCGTCATTGGTCTCACGACTTATATTACTCGTAACAGTAGTTGTCCTTGTAGAATCTGAGGCGACACTGCTGTCAAGAACTACGTGTTTAATTCTTTTGATTTGTGATGCGTTATTGGGACTTCCGCCACCTGCATCTGTAGATATGCGTTTTATTAGCCACTTATCCATTGTTAACTGCAATAATAAATACGTATTAATAAATAAAAATGTATTCCAAACGAATAATAATAGATTTTTCGTCATATGCTCGCGTGGTAACAGGATTTACTTCAAATTTATTTTCAACGAAGCACAAATAGACAAGCAAAAAAAGGGACCAAGTGCGAGTCGTACTCGCCCATGAAGGGTTCCGTGGTAGCAAGTAATGATATGACTGGATGTTAGTTGTAGCTTTGTTTTTCATAGTGTTTATGAATGACAAACACGACTTGACGAAACTATAAGGGTTCCTTGTTTCTGAAACGGAACCCTAAAAATACATAAGTGAAGCGTAAAAAATATTTCGCGCTGGTTTTGTTATTGAACCCACGCGTCCAACATGACCGCGCTGCGATGACGCCTCACTTTATTTTCTAAGTATGAGTGCACAGTTACTTACCGTGTGCGTCGTATCCACGAGAACACTAATCTTCTAATAAAACTTTCTACAGAAGTCATCTTCCGTGTTTTGACATCAATTTAGTATGTATTTGCAATCGACAAAGCGGCGATGAGTACGCACGTGCGGATAGAACTGACTGAACAGACAAACTGAACGAAGAAAGAGCGATCGGGGTGGGGGCGCGGGCGCGGGAGCGTTGAGGTTGTGACCGGCGGGACTGGACAGGTCGTACAGTCCTAATTATTTTCGATTCTCTCCGTTTTAAGGACATTGTGTAATTGTGTATGTATTTTATGCATAAACCTTAATAAAATTCGATAAATACAGGACCTTTTTTGACTTTTTTGGCGACCCCATAAATATCTCTCGCGACCCCACATGGGGTCGCGACCCCAGAATTGAGGACCGCTGCCTACACGTTGGCCAACACAGTGGCGAAGATATTAGCCGAGAGTTTGTATGCCGACACAACCACACGTTTGAAGGTCGTTCAGTTTGCTTCGGTTCAGGTCAATGTGCGGTTGAATTTATTTTATTTTAGACGACAGCTCCGTGGCGCAGTGGCTTAGCAATGAGCGGCTGCGCCGGGGGCCGCGGGTTTGAATCCTGCACGGAGCAAGTATTTGTATGTCCTACAAATAATTGTTCCGGGTCTGGATGTGTGTCCTTGTGCAATTTATGTTTGTAAGCTGCTTCCGCGAAAAAGGAGAAAATCCAAGTGTGGGGGTAACGTTTTTATAAAATAATTATAAAAGAATAGTGAATATTAATGGGACTGTTATTAGATATACGATATACGATTAGCTTTATTTACTCTTTACATGCATCATAAACTGGAATAATTACCATTAATTCGAACTTATTTTATTTTAAAGTTAAAGGAGTTATAATTTATTAGTGTATGTTTTAAAATTGGGTTTTGATTTTAAAGTTTAGCAAAACATGTACTTGCTTTTCTATCAGACATTTGATGTATATAAAAAAAAACCTTATAATTTATTTGGTAATTTCATAATTTTTTTGAGAAAGACAAAAACAATAGCAATATTTCTTATATTTAATCAAAGCTTTTTTTATGTAGGATAGGGTAACAAACGAGCACACAGTTCACCTGATGGTAAGTGGTTGCTGTGGCCCACAGACATCTACATCTATCCTTGATTACGAATCAAAATGCAGATGCGTTGTCACCAGTGAGGACTAAAATAAAATGTCTCGTTTCTTTTAAAAAGGGTGTCTGGTTCTCTACACTCACTATACGACTAAACTTAGCATCATTAAGCTACTATTTTACGCTGATATTCTGTGAGAGCGTATTCCTTCCCCGGTCGAGTCGACCCATTCGTGCTACAACTATACTTCTAACATAAATGCATCACGGTTCTACCACGTATAAACGACGTGCTTCATTTTTTTTCATTTTAAATTTTTCTCGTAATAATTTGATTGTAAAAATGTTCTTTTTTTATAAATAGCTTATCGATTAAAACAAATGTTTAAAAATAATTAAATCGCGCTAATTAAAGTGGTAGGAATGTTTAAAATTGAAATTGGCACTAAAAGGCTGGTAATTGGGGCGTCCACCCTACAAAGCGTGAATATAAAATTTAAATCAGATGCGTTTAATCACTCTGGGAGCTTGTAGCAAACTAAACGCGCGCCTAACGTGTGGACGCGGCGCGACGGCAGGCATACATTTTCGCCGCGCCGTAGAAAGAGAGGGGGATACTTCCTCTCCTACGCCGCGCCGGCTGTCTCTCTCTCTCTCTCTCTCTCTCTCTCCATCCGTCTTACGCATTTTCGATCAGGGTCACGTGTCCTGACGCGAGTTTAACATTTTTTACCCATTACAAAAAAGTGTTTAATGCCGCTAAAGAAGTTTTCACTTCGAAACATATTTTACCAACGCAAGCAATATTTATTTCTTTTCCACCCATATTCACATTTATAGTCACTTAAACGCGTGTAAACCACTAAATTAACGATTTTCGTTATTAGACACAACTGACTTTAGTCACCTTACACCTCACATCGAAGCACTACTACACTATCAAATAAAAAAACTACACAACTAAAATATAAATCAAATAAAAAAATTGCCATAAATGTCCAGTCCTATTTTACATTTTGACTAGTTTTAAAATAAAATACTTAAAATGAGAATTAAAAAAAACTGAACGACTAAGCTCTATATCTTTAAGTATAAACAATAAAATTATGATTATTGTCACTACGTCCAGTCTCCTATTTTACATTTGACTAGTATTAAAATAAAATACATAAAAGGATTGGATTGGAAGAAGAGGAAAGAGGTAGCGAGTTAAGTATAGATGAAATAATGAAAGCAATGAAAAGCATGAAAGCAGGTAAGGCTGCCGGATATGATAGAGTTTTACTCGAAATGCTAAGGGCTGGAGAGGAAGTGGTGGCAGGCCTGCTGCACACCTCGTTTAATTTATGCTGGGAACTGAAGCGGGTACCGGTAGACTGGTGCAAAGCCGTGTTAGTCCCAGTATATAAAGGAAGAGGGTCGCAGCGGGACTGTAAAAACTACCGTGGCATCAGCCTTCTTAGCATTGTGGGAAAACTGTATGCTAAGGTACTGATTGAAAGGGTCATGAAAAAAACTGATGAAAAAATTTGGGATGTGCAAGCGGGATTTAGAAAGGAAATGGGATGTACAGATCAAGTCTCTTCCATGCGCATGATCGCGGAGAAGTTTCTGGCCAAAAACCAAAAGGTTTTTTTGTGCGTTCATGGACTTGGAAAAGGCTTATGACAGATTGGATAGGGATTTGCTATGGCAAACACTGAACTCATTTGGGTTGAGCGCTGGCTTGATACAGGCATTGGAGTCTCTTTATAGGGACTCTAGTGCTTGTGTTAGGATCAACGGGGTTTACTCGGACTGGTTTGACATCCATAAAGGTGTCAGACAGGGCTGTGTGGCTTTCCCGTGGCTGTTCAACCTATTTATGGACAGTTGTTTGCAAAATTTGAAAGTTGAAGAATGCGGATTAAGAATGGGTGAGTTAACCGTCAAATGCCTTTTGTACGCCGATGATCAAGTTATTCTTGCGTCGTCGGCGGCCGAGTTGCAAATGATGGTTACATTAATGAACGGATCATTAAAAGAAAGGGGTATGAAAGTGAACGCAAGTAAGACGAAGGTTATGGTTTTTGAAAGAGAAGAAAGTAAAACGATTTGTGAAATAAGAATAGAAGGGGAGTTGATCGAGCAAGTAGATGAGTTTGTATATTTGGGCTGCGTATTTAGCAGGGATGGGAGATATGATAAGGATATAGAACGACGAGTGAATGTGGGAAATAGAGTAAATGGGGCCTTGCACTCTATTGTGAAGAGTCAAAATGTGTCGAAAAAGGCTCGTATGGCAATTCACAATGCTGTGTTGTTCCCTACTTTAACGTATGGTAGTGAAAGTTGGGTGTGGCAGAAGAAGCACGAGAGTAGAATAAACGCAGTAGAAATGCGGTCGTTAAGGAGTATGTTAGGGCTGAATCTGAATGACAGGGTAAAAAATTGTGTAATAAAAGAAAAGTGTGGTTTGCAAGATGATTTTGTGACCAGGATTAAGAAAGGAATAGCTTCGGTGGTTTGGTCATGTGGAAATAATGAATGAGGAAAGAGTGACAAAGAAAATTTATGGTGCAGAAGTGAATGGCAGAGTCGGAAAGGGACGTCCTAGGCGAAAATTTATCGACCAAATTGGCGATTTATTGAAAAGGGGCCAAATTAGGAGTACCCTTAACCGACGAGCACGTATGCGTAGGTGTATGGATGTGAAGGAGGCAGGAGAGGTGTGTCAGGATCGTGCCAAATGGAAGTCTGTAGTCTCTGCCTACCCCTCTGGGTGACAGGCGTGAGTGTTTATGTTATGTTATGTTATAAAAGGATTATTTAAAATCCTGAACAACTACTTTATGGTCTCAAAAACTAAAATATAAAACAATCTTTTGTAATCTTCCAATTAAAAATAATTATTGCCACAAATGTCCAGTCCGATTTTACATTTGTTACCTGTAAGACTGCGCGATGTTTTCGTTCTAAGTACTGTTTTAAATTTGTAGTATTGCTACAAGTTTTTAATTCTTTCGAACAGTATTTGCATATTGCTGTGTATTATCCCTTCTTCGTTATAAAATACTTTCGGTAGCCGCTTTTAGGTGTTTTACGGTTAGAAGACATCTTTATTGTTTACTAACAACGGAAACAACTTTATCTCACTCACCACTACACTGAAACTACTTTACACGCATACATGCATGCCTACAGATGGCGCCGTTTTTATTTAATCAACTTATACGTATGAACTTAATTCGAAATTTTTCATCCAACGCATAGATGCGCTGTTTATAAAATTGAAACTTACTGCAAGATTTTTTCATACATCGCATAGATACAAGCTGTTTCTGAAAATGGATTTAAACACGTAATTTATATTAGTTGATTTACTAAAAATCGATTAATATTACTATAAAAATCAATAATAAAAATCGCTTAAAAGAAAATAATAATCGATTTAAATAATTATTTTTTAAAAAAATT